CTGCACAGAAATGGTTCAAGCGTTTCAAAAATCAATAAATTTTCATAATAGCCACAAAACCAGATCAAAAACACAAAAAAATATATATAAAAAATCATTATTTTAACACGGCGCACGAACTTTTTCCGCAACCTAATAAATTAGTTTTAATGAAACCGATTTAAATTAATTTATTTCGAACTCATTCGGAATAATTTTGTGCTTTAAAATGCTTCAAATTGATATTTACCCTTAAATTTATTTAAATAAATGTTTTTGTAATAGATTTGTGATAATTTTGATACATCAAAATTATCACAAAGCCTCTATCGACGATTTCTCGGGCCGACGATGACTGTTATCTAGTCTTCGCCAGATAAACCGCCCTTATTCGGCGGTTTTACCAACATTTCATGGTCATCTACCGTTCGACTTCAAATCTGATCCATCGGCATTTCTGTTCACATTGCCCAACCCAGATCAAATCACTTTGAAAAAGTTTTCCCTTAAGAACTCGCATCATCAGAATGTCGTCTACTACAGCTACAACGCTGGCCCGTGTTTTGGACGAGGACATGATTTATACGTGGCATCGAATTCAAATCAGAATTTGAATTCTTTTAATGGGTTTACGTTTAAAGATATAACGGGAATATAGAATAGTTTGTTTGAAGGGACAATGAGTTTTATGGTGAATGAAGTAGCAGTTTATGTGAAATTGTAACTTAATTTTTTTCGAAAAATCAATACATCGTGAGAATGAGCAAGACACTAATTAAACTGATTTTTAGCATTTCGCTTTTTTCAAACCAAATAAATAGAAATCTGTTGGTAAACTGATTCTTATGCAAGGAATAGTGTGTATAAATCAAACGCGACGCAGCGGCTTCTCCTTCGATTTTTGCTGAAAAGTCAAACTCTGAGATCTAGAAATCAGCTGGTCATCCTTGAGACTTTTTTTTCACCCAAAGGTAATATCCTTTTAACGAATGGTTACTCGATTTCGTTTTAAAAAATAGATGCATTATAATGCCAAAAATAAAACAAGGGAATACATAGGCCAAATAACTTCTAATCAGTCATGAAAGAACATAATTTTCTGCTTTTTTGCTACATCCGCTATTTTTTGTTTACCTTTCTCACTCATTTGATTATCATAACAGTAGAGACCCCGAGGATAACGATTTGTTGTTACTTTCATCATATCCACAATTATAGCAACACTTTTATCCGTTATTTCGCTATGATTTGATATAGCTAACCATTTGAGTGTTATGTTTTGATATTTCAAAACATTGCATAATAAATCTACACTACGATCAGTTAATTTATTTTTAGAGAACCATATTCGTTTCAATGTTTTGTTCACTGCTAACATTTCAGCTAAATATTCAGTGCCGAGATCAGTAATTTGATTGCAAGATAAATCAACACTTTGACAGTTTGTATTGGATTTTAGTTCACCGCAAATGAACGCCATATCTTCATCGTTTAATTCTTTTGCACGAAAGTCCCAGCTTCGTGATAATTTGCGTTTTTTAATCTCAATTAATTCTTTTATGTTAGTAGCACATTCTTGAGCTTTGTCAGCGGCCGAGCACGGCGGTTCTAATAGAGGAAATTTCGATTCCACTTGTTTTAAAGTAATTATGTGTAAACCATTGCCTGAATCTAACCGTCCTGTCACTTGGAATTCAGTAGCCGGCATTAGCAGTACTTCATTTTCATAATTAAAGTACGAATGGTTTTTAATAAATTTACCGTTTGAACATTCGATATTGAATAAAGTACGAGTGCCAGTCTTACCAAGAAACTGCTCAGCTTCTAGCACTCGAATTGAGTCAGATGTTGAACTGAAACCCCACCAGACAAATGTCTTTCCTTCTGGATAATCTTTACTTAAATCCAACTTAACGCCACGATAGACGATGGTTTTTCCGGCTGAAGGTAGTTTCCATAGTGCAGTTAAAAAGAGTTTCAAATAGGAAAACCAAGATATCAATTGACGACGATTTTCTGTCCGCAGTGTGCGATTCAGTACAGTATAAACGCAGTCAGGACTCCACTCCAAGGTATATAGACATACTGCAGCTGATTCATCAACGGTGAGGCCGTCCAGTGGTTCTAGTGCACGTTGTTTGGCAATATAGGCTCGACGTTCAATATCTGGGACGAGACCGACTAGTGGAGCAATGGCTTGTTCTATAGAGACGAGTGGAACCTTTTCATAGCCATCTACTGGCTGTAACATCCGTCGTGGCTCATTCTGTACATCTCCTAAACGATTCAAGTGTTCTTGCTCCATGCTTTCATTTGTCATGATCTCGAATATTTTTTTACCTTTATTCTAACGTTTATTACAATATTTAGTCAAAGATAAAGACAGACAAAACAAAAATGAATATTTGAGAGAATTCTTTGTTATCTGACTCACGACCAGTAAAAAAGGACCTATCAGAATCATTAAAGATGGTGCTCGAACATAGTCTGTCACTAACTTGTGAAAAAAATTCTTTAATCAGAGTATCAGGTTCTGTTTTTTTGACATAGACGATTTTAGATTTTATCACTCAACTGCTTCTTTTCTTTCCACAAGGCTACACCTGTTACCACTGCTCCTAATCCTTTCCACATCGCTACATCAATAAATCTTCAGGGTGCATAATCTTGTTTGACGGCATTTTTTTCAAAATAATTGTGAACAGGAAAAAGAAAAATGTGCGAGAGACAAACAGAGTACACTTCTTCTTACGTTGAGTAAGGAAAGACAATAGAAAAAATATGATTCATTTCATACATGTAAAAGTTAAAATGAATTTCTAAAAATCTATTATAAAGAAGAATTTCTTCCTTATACATAGACTTCTAACTATTGATTATATACATATATTATATCTGTGAGTAATTCTGGTGATTTTTGTACCGTTTTTAAAGAAAAAAATGTATTCAGAAAGATATTTTGACACTGTAGGTTTATAGAGGGTGGTTGGAAGTCTAGAAAAAGCTGTTTCCAAACTACCAAGCCCTTCCAGCCCAAATCTACGTTGTTCACTTTTTGACTCAGGATCGAAAAAGCGACTTTCTGTGCTTTTCAGCTAAAAAGGCATAACCGACCTTAAAGATGTATTGAAACACAGGTTTTCACATATACTCTATCAATTGGCATCCTTACAAAATGGTTTTTGACAATTTCTAAGCTTGGGCCTCTACAAATCCTTTGCTGAGATGGTTTTCAGAAAACTGAGCCGGCTATTCGAGTCAGGGTTAGGGCTGTGACAGTTACCATTATCGTTACAGTAACTGTAATTGCTGCTCGGTTACCGTTCTTTGTAACGGTAACGTGTAAGCAGTTACCGTACAAGTAACGGTAACGACCAGTTACAAGTAATGGTAACTGTTTAGTATATCTTTCAAGAGTCAAATCTCTAAATATCTAGGTATCCAGGGTGAGGGTGAGGCTACGAACTTTCACCCTCACCCTGGATACCTAGATATTTAGAGATTTGACTCTTGAAAGAGATACTGAACAGTTACCGTTACTTGTACGGTAACTGCTTACACGTTACCGTTACAAAGAACGGTAATGGACCAGCAATTACAGTTACTGTAGCGATAATGGTAACTGTCACAGCCCTAGTCGGGTTCGGGTTAAGATGTTGTCGAGTCGGGTCGGGTTCGGGTTGAGCATTTTGCGACACAATTTAAATATCGATAATAATTCCAGTTTTGTATTACTCATTGAAAGTTATCTGCACTGGAATTTCTAGTCGAAATACTTGTTCCAGAACAACTGCATCCACTAAGTCGATTAATGATTGCTTTCTATGGATATAAGGCAGTGCTTCCTGCGCTGCAGTACATCCCTCACTGCGTTTTATACTGCTTTTTCAATATTCTGTTTTAAACATCCATACCCATGCTTTAATGCTCTCTACTTGCTATCCTATTATTAAGTGATATAGGCTGACCAATGAGAAAAAGGATGTAGTCATCATCTCAGTTAAGATAATCTATTGAAAAAGTGTACTGAGGAAGTTTCCAGTAGATT